GTGATTCGTCAGATCAGCATTCTGGAGAGAGACAATTTAACAGTCTTCCACGGACTCGTACACCCCGCAGTACCAGTCCGGAGCAATTGCCTCTTCCTGGTCTTAATCCACCTCAACCCGTCCGAACCCGGAGCACCTCTTCCGATATTGGAAATCGTTCAGCCTGGTTCCTACAGTCTATCACACGAGAGCAGGTGGAAGAACTGTTGGCATCAAAACCTCCCGGGACGTTCCTAATTCGTCATGCGACAGACGGACGCCGATTGGCCCTAGGTGTTCGGTAAGCCTACCTGTTTCGTATATGATGAATCCGGTTGTTGTTCAAGTTTCGAAGTTTCAACGAATCATCCCATTGCTACCTGTAGTGTCAGGGGTTCAAGCCGTTCGTCATTGTTGCGACGCGTGTGCCTGAGCCGGTAGCTTCATGACCAACAAATATCCTTTTTCCTTTTTCATACACTTCAATACTTTTGCATAAATTGATTGATTGATTGATTGATTGATTCACTCATTGATCCGACCACCCAGCCAGTAGATCAAATAATTGTTGTTACTTGATTATGGTGACAAAATGTGCTGAATCCAACAATTTCGTCTTAATCTGGTCGCCTGTATTCATGCGTTCTGACTACGTTTGGCTGTCAGGTCAAACAGATTATGAACAAGCGAACGCACAAGCAGAACAAATGGCTAAGAAGGCTCATGAAAACCCAATCCGGATTCTTTACGAGGGCGAAAATCGTAGTAGCAGTCGGGGTCAAAATCACGGTGTTATGCTGGCCGCAAAATCGATTTACTCACACAAGGGGGTTTGTAACATCGTGTGTCGACTGTTTCGGTAAACTGTTATCAATCGGTTGTTTTCAGACTGAAATTGCCGTGTTTGGGCTAGCGTGTGCAATTCAATCAAGGGCCAAAGAAAGGGATTATTTCGACAGAACTTTTGACCCTTTTAAGACCCCATTTCCGGACAAGTGCTCTGAGATCCTGAAAAACAACTGCATCCTAGTTCCCCCCAACGTTCCCGCTATCACAGGTGCATGGAAAACGATAAACACGTCCAAAGGAACTTGAAGGAGCAGTTTTCCCAACTAGATTTACTCGTCCCGTATTGTGTGCTATTGCCCGAGAATGTCTAGTCCTATATTCATCTCGATCATAGTTGAACGGAATGATGATGGTAAAACCGCCTATTTTCGGAATCTGTCCACTGCGATTTGTCAAGTGCAAACGGTTTGATATTCGCCCTGAACTATGAATCACATGTGACAGAGTGACTGATTGCCTGTTTCAAGCATGGCTTAAGATGTGTTAGATGCTCGGGAATTCACTGATGCCACTTCAGATGTTTGGTGTTTTTTTAGAAATTGCTTGGGTTAACATTAGTTTTCCGTAATATTTGATGAAGCTGTGGTCATATCGGGACTGTATAATAGTTGTATTAATATAACGACACTGCTTTTAATTGGGTCCTGATGCATAAATTTTTCGGTACTAATGGATACTGGTTTATGCTTTGATAGACCTACCAGGTGGCATATGGTTCTTGGTTATCGGTTCGCATCGCAGTAACGTAATGTAACTTTCATCTTCATGTATCCACTACCTCCTTTATCTAGTCTCTGTCATGACTGTGAACCCAGTCAAATAGAATAACGAAGAATTATTAATCTGAACGTTTTCATGTATTTTCGCTCATCTCTTACCTGTCCCATATAGCTTGAAAACCTCCATTCAACACTGTCTCATCTTCCATGAGAACGGCAAATACGGTTTCGTCAAATCATCTTGCTCGTTTGACAGTCTGGAAGACTTGGTACGGTACTATCATACAAACAGTTTGAGTCAGCACAATTCTATGCTAACTACAACCCTTCGCTACCCCGTCAATTCCACCTAACTGTGATCCCGTAGCCCCTTCTCATCACCTCACTGCTTTTCACACACACACACACACACACACACANNNNACATTCATTTTTCAGCGGCCTTATATTACTGGTAATTCGAGATCTTAGGCGAAGCTGGAGTGTCTTACTGATTACTGTTATTACTATTATTATTACTACTACTCCTGTTATTTTTAAGAGCGCCACTTCCGTTATTTGCACTGACCTCATTGTTTTCCCCTCTGATACCGACCTAATCATGCTCTTCCTTATCCTCCGACAACCTAAACGCGCTATTTTTTATTGCTTGATCCGATATCACCGACCCGTTCCGCTCTCTTTTACTTCTTTCCTAAGAGTGATCCTTTTTAGTTAATAAAACCATTTCACCTTGTCCCGAGTAATCGTGACCGAGATGAACTATCCTCGCTATTGCTTATGCCAGAATCAACTGGTTCTATTGCGATTTATTTGAGACTCGTTTTTGTCTTACACCATTACGTCTATTTTTCTGGGGTTGTAGAACCCACCAATACATGGCTGTTCGTGTATCGCTGCTTTCAACCGCAATCGACTTCCTGTCTGGCTGTCCCCACACGACTCCCCCTCTCGCCTGTTTACTGTTTCCACTCTGCTGCCGTTGAGCGATCGTTTTCAGTCGTAATTTTTCATTGCCCAGTATGTTTTCTCTCTCTCCCTCACGCGGTCAGCTAATCCTTCCTCTTCCAAC